AAAAAAAAAAGAAAAAAACACAGACAAAACAAAAAAGCAATCGAAAAAAACCAAAGACAAAAGAAACGAAAAGAAAAAAAAAAGAAAAACAACAAAAACAGAAAAACAAACCAAAAAAAGCAAAAAAACAAGAAAGCGAAAAAGGAAGAAAAGAGGGGAAGGAAAGGAAAAAAAAAAGAGAAGAAAAAGAAAAGGAAAAAAGAAAGAAGAGAGAAAAAAAGAAAAAAAAAAAAAACACTAAAAAAAAAAAAGGGGGGGCAGGTAGGCGGCGGCGGCACCTGGTAGAGCTGCGCCGACGAGACCGACTCCGGCGTCTGCGCGCCGTCCGTCACCGACGAGGGCGTCGCGGTGCCGGCGCGCTGCGCGCCGAGCTGCTTGCGCAAGTGCAGCGAGTCGGGCGTGGCGAGGCCGGACGGGAGGGACGAGTTAGAGGCGACCTGCCGGGGAGAGGGGGTCCGAGAAGGCTCAGGGGGAAGGGAGGCTGGGAAGGGCCACTCGTCGGCAGACGAGGAGGAGACCGACGAGATGCCCGCCGCAACCTCGTCGGCGGAGAGCTCCGACGCGGTGTCGCCGTCGCCGCCGCCGCCGCCCTCCTCCTCGTCCTCCTCCTCCTCGTCGTCGCTCCCCTCGGCGTCCTCCTCCACGGCGCCCCAGTTGTCGCGCGACAGCGACGGCGCCAGCTGCTCCGCAGGCTCGGCGCCGGCCGTCCCAAACACGTCGCCGTACAGCGGCCGCCTGGCGCTCAAATCAGGCGCTGTGGCGAGGCGCCGTGGCGAGGCGCTGTGGCGAGGTGCTGTGGCGAGGCGCTGTGGCGAGGCGCTGTGGCGAGGCGCTGTGGCGAGGCGCTGTGGCGAGGCGCTGTGGCGAGGCGCCGTGGCGAGGCGCTGTGGCGAGGCGCCGCCCACCGCCCTCGGGGCGAGGAGGTCGCCGCAGCAGTGGCCGCATGGGCGCGTCGACGGGTGGCCCGATCTCGTCCCGATCTCGTCCCGATCTCGTCCCGATCTCGTCCCGATCTCGTCCCGATCTCGGCGGGTCCTCGCCCGAACTCGTCGACGGGCGGCTTGCCCCACCCGCCCGGGTGGTAGCCATAGGTGGCCCCCTCGGGGATCGGCGCGTTGAGGCCCGCGATCTTGAGGTTCGGGTACGACGGCGGCGGCCCGTACCGCTGCATGTTGATCAGCCACGGGGGAGGCCCTCCCAGCTCCATCCCGAGCGCCTTTTGCAGCTCGTCGGACGCGACGCCCGGCTTCTTCTGCCGCAGTTGCACCTCGTGCTCCTTGCCCTCGTAGTACGTGTCGCCGAACCGGCTCAGGCGCGGCTTGCTCTGGAACTTGAAGAAGGCGTCGTGCAGCACCTGAGAGCGCGCACAGGGGAGAGCGGTGAGCGGCGAGTCTCGCGTCGGCTGGGCCACGGGCGCATGCGTCGCGCCTGGTAGTCGATGTCGATCTTGCCCATCTTTGGCTGCACGCGCTCCTTCATCTTGCCTGCGGGAGGGGGGACAGAGGGACGGGTCTCTGTCGCCTCCGAGTCGCCCCCCTCGCCCCCTGGAGCTCCCTCACATCATCCAGCTCACTCACCGACGCCCAGCTCGGCCAGATCTCGGCCAGATCTCGGCCAGATCTCGGCCAGATCTCGGCTAGATCTCGCCCTTGAGCTTCTTCGCGTTCTCCTTCTCCATCACCGACGCGCGGATCTTCTCGATTCCGGTGGCGGCGATGAACTCGGGCAGCGCGAAGGGCGGCT